ACATATATATCTATTATATAATAAATAAACAGTTTATAGAAAGGATTAAATAGCAATGTTAATGTGAGTAATGGCGAAATCACTTCGCTAACAGAACTTAATGAGACATTAACTTACTATCAATCCCTTCAATTATAAGATCCTTATATTCGGGTTGTAGTCAGATGGACTGCATATGCCAAGTACATTCGGTAATTTCGAATGGCCATCTTTACGGCGCAATTTCCCAATATATAGGCAAACACTCAGACCAAATATGTGTAGATCGAAAGATGTTTTTTAAGGATTTTATTATTCAAGAAATTGATAGTAAGTTAATGTCTCATTAACTTCTGTTAGCGAAGTAATTTCGCCATTACTCACATTAACATTGCTAATTAATTCTTTGTATAAATTGTTTCTTTATTATATAAAATATAAGCTGCAAACTCTAACACATTTACATCAGATCTGCAGCGCAGTAATAAGCAGAATTTTAAATTCTGTGGAAAGTTACTAAGACATTTTACTTTACTAATTGGATTATCTAAATGTTTATGCTATCATTAAAACGAAAGACCAAAATATTTTGGGATTATTTTTAACATTTTTAAGCCTTCCAGGCACGTCCAAAATTTTAGTTAAAAATTTTGTTTTGTTTTTTTCGGTCAGCAAAATTTACATAAAATCGATCATGTCAGCCATTTTTGGCAACTTTGTAATCATAAGTGAAATTCTCCGTTTAAAAAACTTGTAAAATTCAATCATACTTTTTTCAAAAGTTATTTTAGGAAAATTAGAAAATTTAAAGTTTACTTAATGTAATTGGAAACAAGCATTACTTTAGCAGAAAAAATAGTTGGAAATAAGAAAAAGATGTCTAATTGAGGTGATTGGTTTTCGAGGTGTGAATTGACGTTTACGCCAATGTATCGACAACTAAAGTCAGAGCAATTTATCGGACGGAAGGACAGAAGTGACAATTTTTTCGAAAGTCTAATATCTTATTGATTTTCCTTAGGTATTTTTTAACGAAGATATATAAAAAGACTGCAATGTTTACCGTTGAACTCCTCTTTACACTTACTTTCACTCTCTGTGACCCCTGGCGTGCTAGTGGCACTCCCGCCTTGTTTGTGGTGAAATGTTAAAAAAAAACTTTTTTGTACATAGTATTTAATATAAACAAAAGCGAAATGTTATTACTTTGTTGCTCATATCCATACATCCTGAGAGAATATTTTGACGATGAAGAAGATCTTTCTCTCATGGTAATCACGAACGGACTTTAATATGAAATTCAGCCAGCTACAGTATTATGAATTAAAATCAGTATTTTACAAAACATATTAAATACGTTGACTCGTAAAATGGATGAAAGAGACTTTCAGAAATGAGAGCGTCACACACAAAAACTAGAGTTTGAAATTGTCTTGATGTTGATGAAAATATTCCTCACGGCATCATCTTGTATTTACAGAACGTTAACATTATTTATATATATATATAATTTATTTAAGTAAATCCTCTGTTTTTCATGCAGAAACGGTCATTTGGTCTGACATGGGATTACCATTTAATTACAAAATGGCGTCTGCTAACAACATGCAAATTACTGATTATAAACACACAATCATCGATGATTTTTCTCGCTCGATTATATAATAACATTCCGGTAACTAATACTGTTCTATCTTTCTTGATATATATATATATATATATATATATATATATATATATATATATATATGTGTGTGTGTGTGTGTGTGTGTGTGTGTGTGTGTGCATTAATGATTTTGTAAATAAAAAATATTCAACAAACCGATATTGGGTAAAAAGATGTCAATAAAAAAAGAAATGAATAAAACATCCGTGCCGGTAGAAAACAATCAATCAGCACTGTCATGTCTAGTCAATAAGAAAAACGTCGACTGAGTAACTTTCAAGTAAAAATCTTAGTGAGCCAGAACCTACCTATTTAGGTTTCACCTAACGGATACTAGTAGCCAGTAGTACCCTGAAGATCTGGCTCTAGCCAGTAGAATCTTGAAGATCTGTAAGGTGAAATGTATATATATATAAATATATATATATATATATATATATAACTAGACTCATTTCGAAAAACCCTCGAATTTTTGATTTGGTAATCAAATCAATCTCGAGGGAAAAAAAGGTTTTTAAAAAAGAAAGAGCTACAAACATGAACTTCTGCCGACAAAAAAATCGCACAGATGCAGGTCTGAAGCCCAAAGAAAAAACCCCGATACGAGTAACAACTAACTAACAAAAGAGCTCAATACAACCGTAGAGCAGACCTATTATATTAAAAAAATGCCCAAAATATAAAGCAGGCCATAAATTTTGCAAATTATGTGCTGAGGAGAAATTAGCCATAGCTTTATATGATCAACCTAACCAGCTATTAAACTCTAAAACTGAAATTCTCAATGTATGTAGACACAAAAAAATCTTGGCTACTAAATTAGACGTTTTCCCGTTATTGACTTTCCACGGAGGATTTTTTTTTTTTTTTTGAATAAATATTTATCCCCCCCACTTAGGTTGTTTTTGTTTTTTTTTTTTGTCACGTGGTATGATTTTAGCTATCACCTATAAATATGTGTTTTCTTTTTGCCTCGTTAGCCAAACTTTCCCTGACGATCCGTTTAGGTGAAACCTAGGTAGGTTTGTCTGGCTCACTAGGTGTATATATATATATATATATATATATATATATATATATATATATATATATATATAACTTTTTTTAAGCGAACGGTCTGTCGTGGAAAAAGTGGTGTCGGCACGCTTGTTTATTTTTTAAACATTTTTTTTTAATTTTCGAGGGCGCTAATTTAACCTGTTGAATATTTATGAGGCTATTATAAAATTTGGAATTTCGAGTAACTGCTATTCCTTTTTTTATTTTACATTCTTAAGCAATGAATTTAAATAACCACAGGCTTAGATCAAGAAATCCTTCTTAGGACGTGAGCCTTCGATAATGTTATACTAGATCATACCTATTCTATTGTAAATAGACCCTCCCACGGATAATAAGTAGTAGTAGTAGCAGTCGCCAGTGGGCTCAGTGAGTTGAGTGAGTGAGTCGATGTCGGACATTAAAGTATCAACCACCACAACTAGATTGCTGCGTCGTTAACTATTATTTCAAGTTCCTAACGTTTTGTACGTCGAACCTAATTTAGGACCGACTTAGTGAAATACAAGCCCCCACTGTGAAAACTACTCAACAACAGATAAAAATCGAAACTCTATCTAATTTAATATCAAAACCTCTTTTCTTTTAGCCAAAGTGTTCCGCTACCAATTTGGTCAAGGAGACCAGTCTGCTAGTGAACGTTTTGAATAAACTATTTAAGGAAATGATACCTACCAATAAGACTTCTATGTTTTTATATCTGATAGCTTCAGTTTTGTACCAGAAAGCAAAGAACAGTCATTTGTTGAAGGGATTTTTTTTTTATCTGATATTATTACTTATCACTATAAATGTTATTTTATTTGTTTATACAGTTACCCATGTTTTATTCTTTTTTAAACAGTGAAAATAATGTAAATGGCTTACTTTGACATGTCTTATCAAGGGATGATGTTGAAGATAAAATAAGCCCTGTCTATTCTATTCTTATAACACATACTTATGTTATAATTTTTTTTAATAAATAATAATTATATCTGCTCTACTTTGTATTGAGCACTCTTTTAAGAATAGTAATTGTTGGTTATTGGAATTCATTCCGTATATACCAATTATACACTTATATATATATATATATATATATATATATATATATATATATATATATATATATATATATATATATATATATATATATATATATATATATATATATATATATATATATATATATATATATATGGAAAAGTTATCGTTTTAACGAGAGAAGAATATATATTTTTAAAAAAGATTTAATTTTAAAATATTTCTGAAATATGAAGAATAAAATATAATATATATATATATATATATATATATATATATATATATATATATATATATATATATACTAAATCAAATTCACAAACGTTTGCGGTTTCTCTCTCGTAATTATTAAAAAATATTTTGTGAATTAAATTGCAGAAGTAATCATATTGTTAAAAAAAATAATTATAATATATATATTCATAATTAAGAAATTCATCGAGTCTAGAAGAAACTACAACAGAATGCAGAAGGCCCATTTCGTCCTATATTTGGGACTTCATCAGCAGTTTACATCCATTACCGTGAATTGAAGCCAGAATAGTTACGATATGAGGCAAACGTCAAATGGCCTCAGTAACGGTGAGATAAAGAATTAGACTCGATATAGCGCCGCTTGATCACAAATTCCGTGGTGGAACTCATCCGAGTTTTACTTAACCATAGGAATCTGCCTCCACGAGCCACGACTACTATCGCTAAGCCGCTCCAACTGGAGGATTAGAAGCCGGTTCAAGGAAGGAGGTAAAAGTGATAAAAATTATTAGGAGGATTTGAGATAATTATAATTAGGCAATTCATCGAGTTTCAAAGAAACCTCAACAGAATGCAGAAAACACTGGGTGGCCGTTATACATACATTACATACATACATACACACATACATACATATATATATATATATATATATATATATATATATATATATTCTAAATCAAATGAAGAGAAATATATCACGTTATTATTACTTCAAGTAATAAAAGCAGTGCCGATTGTTAAGGCGAAGCAGGTAAAAATGGCGGAAGTGTCTACTCTGAAATTATCGAGTAAGATGAACAGAGTTAGTAAGTAATAATCAAAGTAAAGAACGAAAAACTGAACAAAAGAAAATAAAACATCAAATCCGAAAATAGCCAAGTGAAAACAATTCACGAATGACAAATAGATCCAATAAGGAGACAAGAAGGTTAAGAAGTGATAATAAATAAAAAATAATTAGTGTGAGCTACGCAAGCCTATTTGAAAAATCAATAGCAATAATAACTGTAGTCTAATTCGAAAATGGTCGACATAATGAAAGTAAGAAAGAAAGCGAGAAAGAAAGAAAGAAAGCGAGAAAGAAAAAAAAGAAAGCGAGAAAGAGAGAGAGAAAATGAGAAAGAAAAAAGAGAGAAAGAGAGAGAGAAAGCAGGAAAGAGAGAGATACAGCGAGAAAGAAAAAAGGAACCGAGAAAGAAAAAGGGAGAAAGAATGCGAGAAAGAAAAAAGAAAAAGAAAGCGAGAAAAAGAGAGAAAGACAAAAAGAAAGAAAAAAGAGAGAAAGGAAGAAAAAAGAGAGAAAGGAAGCGAGAAAAAAGAGAGAAAGAAAGAAAGAAAGAGAGAAACCAAGAAAGAGAGAAAGAAAGAAAGAAAGAGAGAAAGAAAGAAAGAGAGAGAGAAAGAAAAAAGAGAGAAAGGAAGCTTGAAAAAAGGGAGAGAGAAAAAAAAGAAAGAGAGAAAGCAAGAAAGAGAGAAAGAAAGAGAGAAAGAAAGAAAGAAAATGAGAAAGAAAGAGAGAGAGAAAGAAAGAAAAAGAGAAAGAAAGAAAAAGAGAAAGAAAGAAAGAAAGAAAGAAAGAGAAAAAGAAAAGAAAATCCAATGAGGACGGAGAAATAAACTTAAAAGAGATTATCATAAGGCCGAATATAAATAACAAAATGAAAAAGGATGATAAAAATTGGGAAAGAGAAAATACAGAAAAGAAGGCCAAAAAGACAGAACGATCTAGAACCAAAATAAAATGAAAGAAAGAATGGTAAAGAAGCAAAGAAAAGACGGAACAATTTAGGAAATAAAACAAAGAAGGAAGAAAAATAAAAATGGCAGAAGGAATGGAAAGAAAAGAAGAAAAATGGTCAGAAAGAAAAGAAAGAAGGAGACAAAAGAATAATGGAAAAAAGAATTGAACGAAAAAAGAAAGAAAGAAATAAGGAAACGAATAATGGAAGAAAGAATAGAAAGAAAAGAAGAAAGAAAGTAGGGGAAAAGAAAGAAGGAAGGAAAAGATAGAAGGAGAAAGGAATAGAAAGAAAAAATAAGAAAGAAAGAAAGAAAAAAAAAGAACGAAAGTAGGGCAAAAGAAAGATGGAAGGAAAATATAGAAGGAAAAAGGAATAGAAAGAAAAAAATAAGAAAGAAAAAAAGCAAGAAAGAAAGACAAAACAAGAATTATTGCCAATGAACAATGAATAGAATTTAGTATTCCCAATTCATACAACACGATGAGCGTGTCCACCCGCAGTGTTTCTCTAACATCTTAACATCCAATGGAGTGACTTCATCTTCAACGTTGACGTCCTTCATGTCAGTAAAGTTGAGACAGTAGCTCCAAAATAACGCCTCGTAAAGATTATGTTGCATGATGAATACTTTAGCGGACAGCTGAATACTAGACAGTCAAAAAGATACACAAAGAATCTCTGAAGAAATTTCTTTTTCTCATTATACATCGTTAGTGGTCTGACCTAAACCCAACCAGGGAGACCGTCTACTCCTCCGAGAATGAAAGCAGCGATGACCTGAATGGCAAAAACAAAAAGAAGAAAATACGTGTCTGCTGTGTCACCAACACCTCACCAAACCTTCTCCTGCAAACACCATGGTCGTATCTGTTTGTTGCGCATAACAATGGCCAGTCACACTTCAGCAAACGTGGCCGTGCCCTTTCCTAGATTTTCATTCTTGGAGCCAATCCAAGAATATTATCAATAATTTTTGTAAGAAGACTTCTTGCGCAACTAGTGAAATTAGGTAATGTGTTGTTACAATCTAAATAAAAAAATCTTATTGCAGATGTATTCATTTTCTTTGCAGCCATTGTAGGCATTAATGGAGTCGCTAACACTCACTTAATTTTTTGAGTAAGCTTTGAACCAATTGGAAATGAAAAGCTGCATTTTTCTTTAAAGAGGGAATAGTGGATTTATGCCTTTACTAATATCATGAGTGCAAAATTAAAGTAAATAAACATGGCTAAAATTCGAACTCGTTTTATCTACTAATCTGATTAATAAACTCTCTTTGATGAGAGATATCAAGTAAGTACTGCATCGAACAAGTATAATCAAGGTTTAATGACCAAAATGTTAGTCGACTTATACATGAGTAATATATTAGTTCGGAGGAAAATGTTAGCAATATTAGAAAATACGAGAAACTGTACTTAACTTTAGCCATATATTGGGAATAACATTATGAAAATATTGTTTCATAAGTGATATTAAATTGAAATAATTTTGTTTAACTTTTTTCAGTGTAAAGCGTAATAATAGTAACCATTATGTTTTATTAGGCAGGCTCACCGACCCGGCATTTTGAAGGCATCGATGTTTTTTAATAATCATTGCAGACAGAAGATTATATTTGTTAGCTTAGTTCTTCACTATCTGTCCATATTTCTGAGTATTATTTTATTTCGCTGTGCCTTGTGTCCTTGAGGACACATGACACAGTGGATAAAGGCGTTAGTTAAGATGCAGTGAGTGTGAGTTCAAATACCCGGTTAAGGCAGTGGAGATCTTGGAGAGGGGAATTAACAGGAGATAACTGACAACTGACATTCATTAAACATGGCACGTAGAACAAGAACAGTCGACCCCACTGAGCGAAATAAAGGGTTCAGTTCGACATTCCAACCACTTGAAGAAGTCCGGAGTGTACAACGCCGAAACGTTGTAATAAATATGGCGACAAAGATGAGGACAATAGTCCGAATAATGTAAATAGTTTAGTTGATTTATTTAAAATACTACATCATTTTTTTAATTGAATTCACCAGTTAGTATTTAGTTTAGTTTAGCTTAGTTATTGTTGATATATTGCATTTTGCACACTATAGAACGCACACAGTGGAGATTTTTCAGTAAAATGGAGAACAAATATCTGATAAGTTTTAATAGAAGAAAACAAAAATATCTAAACTTCAAATTTCAAAGACAGAATAATGGATAATTCTATCGCTTGCAGAAAATTTATTTGCCATTATTGGATTTGTTGTATTAGGGAAATATCCTCACACTAGAAAAAATGTAAGAAGGAAAAGAAAGAAGGAAGCAAATGAATAATGGAAAAAGAAATAGAACGAAAAGAAGAAAAAAGGTAGGAAGGAAACGAATAATGGAAGAAAGAATAGAAATAAAACATGATAACACGAAGCATACTTGTGGCGAATGTGAAAAAAGATACTCTTCGGCCCTATGTTTTTTTTTAATTATATTTTATTAAAGAAGGCATCTTATTACGACATGGAATATACGATTTACGGCATATATCATCAAATAGTAATTTCTTTCTTGAACAACCAGCAGTCGACGTGGAGATTAATCATTTCATACCAAGCAAGGCAATAAGGTTACTAAGACGCAATGGATTACTGAGTGTGAGAGAATATGAAAAAGAAAACATTATTTAGAGAAACAGAAATTAAGTAGACTGTAAATAACGACTAGCATTTTATTTAAATTGTTTAGGCGCAAAGTTAGAAGAAGGAAAAGTGTAGCACAAGCGAAGATTTTTCGCAAAGAAACTTTTACCATAAAACTTACATCAACTCATTTCAACTGTAAAATGATCAGACCTTTCAACAGAACGTATATTTTATACGAAATTCTCGAACATTCAGACGAGGAAATGTAATTAATACTGAGAAATTTTCATAGGAAATACGCATCCTCCGACAGAAATCGAACCTGTATTCTATACGGAAGCGTCATATAGCCTGACGTGCTTTTACCGATTAAGCCACAGAGGAGCGTGTCGGTTAGCAATGTCGATTCTACTTTTTAAACTACAGTTCTCCTTGGTGGCTCAATCGGTAAAAGTACGTCATTTCAACTGTAAAATAATCAGACATTTCCACAGAACGCATAATTTTTACGAACTTTCTCGAACATTCTGTCTTTAATACTGTTTATTATAAACAGAGCATTTACTTAAATATCTGTATCTATAAAATCAACGTATAAACATAAAATATGTCTTAAAATAGTTGTCGGACCTTGTCCATTTCATTATATATATATATATATATATATATATATATATATATATATATATATGACAAATCAAGTATTTGTAAAACCAACACGAACTCAAAATCATTATTATCTCCCAAAAATTGTTATTACATTATTCACTCGGAAAAAAGAAATTATTCTTACACTTCAAAAATATCTTTCGATTATAAATAACAAAAAAAGGGTTGATAAGCCGTAAAAACAAATCAATCATTCAAAGCGCAGAAAACTTAGCTTGTAATCTACAGCGATAATGGAGTTGCCGTATAGATTTTACATTGTTGGCAGGGAAAATATTTTGACTACTCGATTTTTGTTGAGTTGATTTGATTTTATACTCTTTGCTAAATATTTGTGGCTTATTTAAAAAATATATCTTGAGAAATTTATAGTATGGGACGGTAAGAATATATCTTTTTTGTTTTCTGAGTGATTATTGCATAAGCAGTTTCGGGCGAATTACAATAATTTTTTTCCAGATTCTACTATTTAACCCATAATTGGTTGGACGTCATAGCTTTATAGATTTCGCCATGGTATTTGAGGCAAGATGTATATAATCAACGCGAGTGTAATCCAAACACAGATATCTAATTTTATACTTCAAACCGACATTCATTACAGCCCATGGACCTCTAACTTGTCGGATAATGTAAAGAAACGTATTATATGTCCAAACCTATATATATATATATATATATATATATATATATATATATATATATATATATATTAAATAACTAGATCTTAATGAGCCAGATAATGATTAAAATCAGCAGTGCATCCACTATCGAGAATTGAAACCCGGACAATTACGTTATCAGGCAATGTCATAATCACCATAGAGATCCTTCCCTGCCCCGCATTAGAATGTCTGATAGTCAACTTCTTGAGAGCAACTCCCTGCGTCTGCTCGCTCTCACGTTGACTGCTGACCTGAGATGGAACAAATACATTGAGTCAATTGCTTCTTCCACCGCGAGGAAAGTTGGCTCTCTGTGCTGCTCCAGGAAATTTTTCTCCCCGGTATCGATACTTCAAATAGACAAAACAACCATTCGACCTTGCATGGAGTATTGCTGCCATATGTGGTCCGGGGCACCTTCTGTTTACCTTGGAGTTCTTGACAAGATCCAGAGACGGATATGTAATATAATTGGCTCTAATCTGGCGGCTCGTCTACAGTCACTCTCTCACAGACGCGCCGTCGCCTCTCTCTGTCTTTTCTACAAATACTTTCATGGTAATTGCTCCGATGAGCTGCTTTCACTGGTTCCCAGACTCCATGAATTCAAGCGCCCTACAAGGCTGGCATCCCGCTCCAACCCTTACACTGTAGAAAATTTTAAATGCAGCCGTCTCTTCTACTCCAATAGATTCATACCTCGCACCTCTCGCCTGTGGAACACCCTTCCCAATTACTGTTTCCCTGAGAGCTATAATCTCCAACTATTCAAATGTAATGTCAATCGACATTACCAGTTACCTTGATCTATCCACTATCCTTCTCCTCATCCTTTCTTCTATCACTTCTATCTGCTCTCGCTCCAAATCTTCCGCAACCCCCTGCATCCTAGTGGCTTCACGCCTTGCTCGGGACGTAATGCTTAAAAAAAAATAAGTAGTAACTGGCTTATTATGTTTTATTCGTTTTACTATTGCTGTACTTAGTGTATTGATCACCCTTAGTTTTATATTATTCCCGCTGTTTTGTTTTTCTCTGGATGATATCCAGAGAGCTCAATGTAAAATTCGGAGCAAATATGTTTGAATAGAAAACAGTTAGTGTCGGAGCAGATATGTTTGAATAAAAAACAGACCACGTTAAGATTCCATGTAATAGGCTATTTCACCATAACATTTTTAACAGGGTTCTGGATCTGATGATCCCGAACCCCGTTAAAGGTGTTAAGGTGAAATAGCCAATTACATGGAATCTTAACGTGGTCTGTTTTTATTCAATATATATATATATATATATATATATATATATATATATATATATATATATATATATATATATTACAAAGGTAATATAATGATGAGTAAGTTGTTTTCCTATTCACATTTTCACCCTTGTCTTTGCAGCCGTTACTAATATTATATCAACAAAACTTGCAACAGAATTTTTCATGCTTGTAAAATTGGATTCATACAAGCTGCCGTCATTTTACAGTTGAAATTGATAAATGTAACTGTAACTTCTATAGTAATAGTTTATCCTATCACTCTTCTTGCTTGTGGAACTCTCTTACTGTTTCTTGCTTCCCAGTCAACTTGATCTTCAAAAATTTAAATGCATAGTCAGTCGTTACCTTGTGACCTCGTAAACCTTTTCCTTTTTGTCCTTAATTCTTAATAATAATTTTTCTCATATTGTCTCACACTCAGGTAAATCCCTTGCGTCCTGCTGGCTTTATTGCATTGTTTGCGCTGAACTGAACTGAAAGAAAACAATTAATAAAATCAAGATATGAAGAATAAAAGGACAAATAAAAGAAAGAGGGGGAGGAAAAATACGAAAATTGGATGAAACAAGAACACAAAATAATTATTTACAGAACCATAGAGAAAATATTCGCAAAAAGAATGTAAAAAGAAAGATTACTAGAATCCTCAAGAGGGTATTTTCAAAGCAGTACAAGAATGATAAAGAAAAATAAAGGCATGAAAAATAGAAAAAAAAATTAAGCAAGGAGAAAAAAATAAATTTCAGTTCAGGATGAAAAAATACAAATCTACCAGCATAGGAGTGGAAACTCAGGAATGGTAGTTCTCAGAAAGTTTGGCAAAAATCTCTACTAGATTAATCTTCGATGCTGATAAATATGTACATCTTTGATGCATCTATCTACATCTATTACAATTTTACCAATTTACTATTCTTTCTCTTGGGGACAAACAAACGCCCAGTTGACAGTGGTACTTGAAATGCGTAATATAAAAACTGGATTTCGAAAATGTATCCTCAAGAAATGGGCGATCACATTTCTCTAAAGAATCTTATAATTTTATTTTAACACATTTTAGTATTAAGTAAGAAACCCTCCACAACCACAATACTTCTATCATATATATATATATATATATATATATATATATATATATATATATATAAAAATAAGCAAATCACCCAACAAGGCAGGAATGCCACTAGCATACAAGGGATTACAGAAAGTGAGAAAGAGTAAAAAAAGGTGTTTGGGAAAAGGATAAAAAGAAAGACAGGGATCAAGGTCAGACCATCAGAAGATGTCGATTGACATTATATTTGAAGATTATAGATATCAGAAAAGCAAGTGATAGGAAGGGATTTCTACTGACGGGAGATGCGAGAGAAGAACCTGTCAGAATAGAAGAGATGACTATATTTAGTGAGACAGAGATGCCAACCTAGTAAATTCATGCAGTGAAAGTATCGCGTCGGAGCAGTTGTCATGAAAGCACTTGTAGAAAAGACAGAGAGAGGCCACAGCACGTCTGTGAGATAGCGACTGCAGTGGGATGCCATATCAGGAGGGTTCATATCTGTCTCTGAATTTTGTTGAGGACCTCGAGATAAACAGCGGGATTACCAAACCATATATGGCAGCAGTATCACACGCAATTTGTAGATTTGAAGGGTGGACTCGGGCGAGAAAAGCCTACTGGCGTGATACAGAGTTCAACTTTCTTTAAGGTTAATGAAGCTATAGATTTAATGTAGTTGTTCCACTTTAGGTTAGTGGACAGCGTGAGACCAAGCAGGCGCAGAAATGCGCTCGCGTAGAGTCGGAAATCAGCCATCCTGATGGGAGGCAGGGAGGCTTCTTTATGGTGGGTAACTGAGAGCAGTTTCTTTTTAGAGGCATTAAAGTTTACAAGCCATTTACTACTCCAGACAACCACAGATTGGTGTTACTTCTCGAGGACTACGGCCAGGTTAGTTTTATCAACGATACCGGATTAGGAACGACGGTGTCTTTTCCATCTCCAAAGTGTTTGATAGGGTTTGGCATGCCGGCCTTCTTCGCAAGCTCCAGGGTTATGGCGTTACGGGTCGATTGTTTGACCCTAATTTCAATCATTCCTGTCAAGCCGTGAATTGAAGGTCGTTCTCATTGGATTTTCCTCCAGTTCCTATCCACTGAACGCAGGTGTTCTTCAAGGCTCCATCTGCCCCACTCTATTCCTTATCTACATAAAATGATCTTCCTGACGCCATAAATTTGAGAGTTGGCATCTACGCAGATGACACCAGAATTTGACTCCAGCCTCAAAAACAAATCGAGGTCACTGACAAAACTAACCTGGCCGTATGTCTCGAAAAGGACCTCCAATCGTTTGTTTTTACAGGGGCAGGAATTGGCTGGTCAACTTTAATGCCTCAAAAATTTAACTGCTCTCTATTAATCACCACAGAGATCCTTTCCCTGCCCTCCATTAGAATGTCTGACGTCAACTTCTCGAGCACCTCTCTGGTGCTCATTCTCAGGTTGACTGCTGACCTGAGGTGGAACAAATACACTGAGTCAATTGCTTCGTCCACCGCAAGCAAAGTTGGCTCCCTGTGCTGCGCCAGGAAATTTTCTTCCCAGAATCGATCCTCCAGATCTACAAATCAACAATACGCCCTTGCATGGAGTATTGCTGCCATATATGGTCTGGAGCCCCTTCTGTTTGCCTCGGGGTTCTTGATAGGCTCCAGAGGCGGATATGCCATATAATTGGCCCTGTTCTGGCATCTCGTCTACAATCACTCTCTCACAGACGCGCCGTCGCCTCTCTATCTCTGTTTTACAAATACTTTCATGGAAATTGCTTCGAGGAGCTGCATTCGCTGATTCCCAGACGTCATGAGTTCAAGCGCCCAACGAGGCTGGCATCCCGCTCTCACCCTTTCACTGTCGAAACTCCAAAATGTAGCCGTGTCCTCTACTCCATTAGCTTCATTAGCTCGCCTGTGGAACACCCTTCCCTGTTCCAGTTTCCTTGAGAGATATAATCTCGAACTATTCAAATGTAATGTCAATCGACATCTCCAGTTGCCTTGATCTATCCACTATCCTTCTCCTCATCCTTTCCTCTATCACTCCTATCTGATCTTGCTCCAAATTTTCTGTAACCCCTTGCGTCCTAGTGGCTTCTCACCTTGCTTGGGGTGAAACGCTTAAAAAAAAATAGTAGTGTCGTCAGCGGAGATGTCAACTTGGGAGTTGATGACATCAGGAAGATCGTTGATGAAGATCAGAAACAGTGATAGATCCTTGGGAAACACCAGCGTTCGTGTGAAAAGAAATTCGAGGATAACCCGTTTAGGGCGACCTTCATTTCACGGTATGACAGAATATTTTATTGTGCAATAATCTTCCTGTAATGCCGTATCCCTGAATTTTCCGAAGAAGGTCAGCGTTTCTTCTTACTATCCACCGCTTTCTCGCCACAAGTCCGCTTTTGGATACCAGCACACTTGAGGAATCTCTTTAAGGAAGCAGCAGGAAATCCTTTACAGCCAACCTCAAACGGCACCAGGGTGCAGCCGTATCCTCTCTCACGGACTTCAGCCACAAATTCCTCATACCGAAGCAGCTTTCTTTCATGAGTCTCTTCAATCCCTTCTTCCCATGCTACTGTCAGCTCGCCAAGCGACAGATCTTGCATCTTGCTATCAATAAACACTAGATCTGACCTCAGTCCAGACACAATGATCTCCACCGGCAGTGTAGCATCGACCAACATTCTCCATTTCCTTGAGTCCTCCGACCTGGTCATCTGCCTTGTGTCAGTCACACCTTGCTTTAGGAAGGAAATACTTCACAGGTCCGTCGAGGGTAAATTACCACTTATCGCAGCTGCTGCCACAACCGCCAGAACCAAGTTATGTCTAAAGGTGTACCAGCCATTCTGTAGCGCCTTCGGGCAGGATGACAGTATGTGGTGCAGGTTTCCACATGCATCACACAACCGGCAGGAGGGTGATTCCTGCACTCCCTATCTCTTCAAAAATTGCCGTCGATGCCGCCACATCATATGCTGGCTATATATATATATATATATATATATATATATATATATATATATATATATATATGTATAAAGACTTAAACACTAATATTCCATGGTTATAATTTATTACATTGGAATAGTAATTACGATCTAATTCATTAGACCTACAAATTCAAAAAGAAATCAGAAAAATAACTCCGGGAATAAAACAATAAAATATGTATGTATGCATGAGAGTGGGAAACGAATGTGAGAGGTAAATGAAAGCTCTAGAGAGGGGTAACAGACGAGAGAAGAACAGGAAAGCCTAAAAGTGAAGGTGGGGATTAAAGTTTAGCAGAGAGAAGTTTTAAAGAGAGGGGTTAAATGACTATTTAAATGAGTGAGAAACAGATATATATAAATTATTTTCCGATGCATAATTCATTACTGAATCGCTGACCTAAATTAAATTAAAAACCGACACCGGAAACGGGTGTATACATTTGTGGTGACACTACGCACAATAAAAGACGATATAATCTAAACGTAAAAATCAGAAGATGAGAGAGAGAGAGAGAGAGAGAGAGAAAGAGAGAGAGAAAAGAGAGAGAGAGAATAAAAAAGGGGGAAGATGGGGGGCACCTAAAACCGAAGGGCATTTATAAAAGAGACGCTGTGCAATCAACAGGTTACAAATTTAATATAAACATATAAAAAATATTTAATCTAGCAAGGACCTACTATTTTCATGACGAAAAACACATACATATAAATTTCAGAGTTACTGAGAGCAAAAGTCAATATATATCCTCCTTCTTCCCTTATGACACCTGCCTCGACAATTGTAGCAGACAAGGTTCTGGCGATGAGGAATGGGATATGTAACGTTTCTCATTAGCCACAACTCCCAGTTCATGTTCAACATTTCTCTTACACAAGCATGTTTGATAGATTTATCTTCGTTACTCCCTTATTTTAATAGGTCATGAGAGTGTCAAATTATCCAAGCCCACTTTCCTCATTATGTGCCCTAGTAACTTAAACTTTCTGATTCTAAACATAATCATTATTTTTGTTTCTATTTTCTTTAAACTTCCCCGTTGCTAAAATATTCAGCTCTTGGTATTTTTAGAATCTTTCTTTGAGGAGATTGTCTCGCATTCACTGCCATATAGGAGGATTGATATTGCATAACAGTTCAGTACTCTTTTCTTTGGTTCTTTGTCTCTTAATACTTTGCTTAGATTTCAGAAGGCATCTTTCGCAATTCCAATGCGTCTTCGGATTTCGGTGCAATATTTTCCATATCTGGTAAAACACTTCCCATATATCTAAATTTTTTTCACATGCTTGATTTTGGTAACCTTTATTCTCAGTTCTTAACTTGGCCTATTTCTCTTACTGACCATCATGCCTTCTCTCTTCTCAAATTGACGTTTGCCCCGTTATTTTCATTTCCTTTACTACGTTCTCTTGTAGTTCTTGCGGAAAAAAGATGAGGTAATTTAAAACGAATAAACCATATATTAAAGAACATCTTGTACGGAGTAAGTCAATATTTAGACAAATATTCTAATGTGTACTCAACGCACGTTAAACATCTATTGGAACTCAAGTTCATACTAGACCTCAAGTGAAACTTATATTAGACGATCGATCCCCAATGAGGTTGATAAAATGGTCGGTTTCTTGTACGGGTTCAGAAAATATCTAACTCCTTCGTACATGCTCTATCTTTGCTGTCGGGTCACTTCTTCTAATTTCGATTTATTACCCATTGAAAGAACATTTTGATTTGTAAGGAAAATAATTCAATCTGATGAACTATGAGAGGGAATCAATACGAAACGAACCGTAAAATGAGGCGAAAAGTATCTTTTATTTTCATAAATTTCACACCAAAGAAGGATCGAAAACCAGAGAATATAAAAAGTTACAGATGAAATGGCAAAGATGAATGAGGTGTGTGATATGAAAAAAAGAAAAGATGATAGGAAGTGACGATTATGGGGATAACATAAATAACGAATAAAACTTAATGTGAAGAGGGCATGGGTTCAGGGAAGCACTCACACGGGATTCTGTTGATCTAATTTGCATTTCTTGGAAAAAAGCTTCCTAAGAGCTGCCTGACTACGTACATATGAAAAACGGTGAAAATGAGAGTGACTCAACTCCGTGTAACTGATATGGTTTATTCTAGCTGTAAAACTTTGAAATTGATAAATTCTTAAAGAATGGAACTAATTTAAACATTTGCCATATAAATTGCGATAGAATAACGAAAGGATTTTCAGGATAGAAAATAAGTTTTCACTCAGTAAACAGCGTAAAGTATTTTGAACACTATCAAGCCTAGAGAGTAAGGATTAAACAGCTTCAGTCCAGACATGACTAATATAAAGACAACACATGGCAGAAAAAAAATCGGAGCTTCTTGGAGTGGTAAAATGTGAATATATTTGATGTAGGGAATAAACTTCAGGCCAAATAGACGTTCAAAGTATGGAGTCTCATAGAGATTTAAATCGTCTCTCATGATTAGCAAAAACTGGAGATCTGAGCGCCCATGGTAAAACTGATATTAGATTCGTTTCCCAGGTATTGAAATTTAAACGTCAATTATATCTCTATTTAAATTTTAAGCGCAATATCAGAAGAGAGCTACAGACCTCCGATCGTCTAACGCGTCTTTAAAAAAAAAAGTTCTAGTTTCCCGGACACCGGTATGTATTTTCCACTCAAGTGAATACTTAAAACTTTCCATATTTGCTCTGATAGATTTGCAGACGAATTCTATTTTGTTGCTGAAGTGTAGAAGACAAGAGAGTCAAATTTCTTCCAAAAACATTTTGATTTTGTAAGTACGTCATAAGTAGAAATCATATGCTGAACATCTTATTTTGTAATGTCTATTAAGCAAAGAAATCATGGGTTTGTATGAGGCAGAGGGTAAAACAAGGCAATAAATTTGAAGTTTTGAAATCCGAGAACAGTTCTTTGTAACTGGGTCTAATGTAGGAGTGCTTGGGAGATGATTCAACCCACGAGCTCCAAGTATGAGTCAAACTCGCAGAAGATAAAAACAAAGGACAATGTCGATTTTAATATTTTACAAGGAAAGTCACGAGTTATAAATTAATGTCAATTTAGAATAGAGGGCAGTTCTTAAACATACGGGAGACATACAAGAAATTGCGAAAGTTACAGCAGCAGAGAAGTGCTAAAACAATGATTACTTATTATATACCCAATACTGAGTTAGAATGCAGAATTTGATTAAATTTGTGCACATTATACATTTTATAAAACTTTTTTATTGAATTTTTTATAATTTTCTAAGGAGTTTAATTCAGTACCTGTCTATATTTCTGGGATGAGATATTATGTACATTATTTACATTATTGTCCTCATCTTTGTCGCCATATTTATTAAAACGTTTCGGCCTTCTTCAGGTGGTTGGAATGTCGAACTGAACCCTTTATTTCGCTCACTTGGGTAGACTGTTCTGGTTCCACGAGTTAATGGATATCAGTTATCAGTTATTTCCCCTCTGAAAGTTTTCCACTGCCTTAACCGGGTTTTGAACTCACACTCTTTGGGTCCTGCCACTGGATCTAACTAACGCCTTTATCCACGGTGCCATGTGTCTTTGAATTTAATGCAACAAAGTAAAAAGTTAGTGAAGTAAAATAAGACAGTTTTGGGATAAATTGCGTTAAATTTCCTTTCTTTTCCCTAATTAATGGACATTGAATGACGCGCAGGTATTTACACAGAAGACAGTTTTTGAGGCAGCTGCCCTAGAGAGTAAAATAATTCTTTGACATGATGCACTGGATTTGTGAGTAAGGATCATCTTTTGTAGTAGTTACTAACATTCATTTTTGTGGTAGGGGAAAAGCATATTTTTTTTTTATTTAAATTTATGAAGTCCCTTTATGTCCTTCCCACTTTTACCTAGTCTTCTATAATATTTTTCCAATGTTTGTGAAAACATCTATACCCAAGAAAAATAGTATTAAAAAACGAACGCATATATTTGCTATACCCAAAAAAATAGTATTAAAAAACGAACGCATATATTTGCTATACCCAAGAAAAATAGTATTAAAAAACGAACGCATATATTTGCTATACCCAAGAAAAATAGTATTAAAAAACGAACGCATATATTTGCTATCCCCAACAGCCATTATCGCTGGATTTTTTTTCTATGGAGATTAAGTTCCAGTGGTTTCATGCTTTTGAAAAAAAGAAATATTACGAGCAATAAAAATCTTGTCGGCATTAAATAACCCATTGAGATGTTGATGTGCCGTAAAACAAAGCCAAACTAATGAACACATAATAAAAGGACAAGATACATAGAAGAAGAATGCCGGTTAATATTATTTTCTTATTTCTTATTGAAAAAGCGTAAGATAAGTCGGGCATCTGTTCGATGTCCGACTCCGATGATAGACAGCAAAAGTTAATGATGGCTGCCAGCTGTTCTCAGCTTGGATGTGTGGGTGGTGTAATGGATAATGGCTCTACAATATTAATCAGCGAGATGAGTTCCAATTCCCGTTGGGTTTTTTGTAGACACTTATGCGCAAATACTATAGAAAAGGTAATAATCAACCCCTCAGCTTTGGATCAATTAGTAAAACTTGTATCATTAAACTGT